AAGCACACTTAATAATCTGTATGTATTTGTGTGCATGTATTTATTTATGGGTGTGGTTTCTATAAGATTGCAACCTCAAACAATCCAATTAAGGTGCATCTCCAAATTTTATCATAACATGTAATTTTGGTGTAAGAAATTATTAGGATTATCTGAAATTCTATTTACATATCTAATTCTAAAATTATAAGCACAAAAACTAGTTAAAATCTAGTAGATCTACAAACATATGAAAATCTTGAAAATGGACGGTCTAGATAATGTGTTGTAAGATGCACTATTTCCGGGACTTAAAATTCTTTTTTTGTCATATTCATACATCTCTATGTCGAGATGCTCAACTAAATGGTTTTTTAACATTAAAACAATCTTCTCAGATGAATTTTTGAGGTGCATCCATATTTCTACATTTTAAGGATGCAACCTTATATAAACTTTTTCCATTTATTTACACACTCTCAGACAATACCTAAAGACTAGTCCTTTCCAATATTATTTAGATACATGTATCTATGCATACAAACAAAAACAACAAAAACACAACTCTTGAAATGAAAAATCTCAACATGGGATAAGTGTCAATTGGATAAATGATTATGCTATGCTCTCAGGGCAGTATCTGCAAGCTGAGGTGGATGGAGGTTTCGGGCGTGATGTGTTGGAGTTCTTGGTGAAAGGGGATGTTGTTGCCTATCGGTCGATGGCCACAAAGGTTACTTATGTCTACCCCTTTACAACAGCTTTTGGTGACTCTAGAGGTCAACAGGAAAGAATGAAAAGGATAATGGACTATTTAGGTTGGTACATGCCCAGTTTTGAATCTATGGATTGAGTGTTTATATCTGATGCAAACATCATGCGGATTCTTCTTGATGATTGTGTTTACCACATCAAGTTCATTTTGGACAAACCCATGAAAGATGGATTTACGGCTTCATCAGATGCAAAATTTGTTATTAAATTGGTATGCATTTGGTGCAAACATTTTTACTAGAATTGGGGATGAAAAATATCATTAAAATGGCCGAACTACCTCAAATAAACCATTCCGAACTACCTCAAATAAACCATTCAGACTATTTTGTTGAACAAAATAAAATCTATTTTCATATCTAATTATAAAATCTTAAAACTCCAGAAATGGCTAAAATCAAGTAGATCTATAAACATGTGAAAATCTTGAAAATGGATGGTCGTAGATAATGTGTTGCCAGATGCACTATTTTTGGGACTACAAATCTTTTTAGTTTTTTATATTCATACATCTCAATGTTGAGATGATCAATTAGAGGGTTTTTCAGCATTAAAGCAACTTTTTTCGATGGATTTTTGAGGTACGTCTTTAATTCTACATTTTAAGATTGCAACCATAGTTTCAAAAAGTGCTACGTAGCCCTCAGGGGGCCATGGAGGTCCAAGCCGCCCAACGCCTAGGCGGCCGTCGAGGCGGGCACCCAGAACCTAGGTAGCCCAGTTGAAAAAACAAAACTGATGAGTGACTGATGACTGATAATGATAAACCATAAGACCATAAGACCATAATCCCAGTTAAAAAAAAGAAAGATAGAAGTCGAGAAGAGAATTTTGATAATCCATAAGATCATAATCCATAGTTTCATACAATAATAAAACAATAAAATCATACAAGCATACACTAATAGTCTGATACATTGTAGATTGTACACAAAAAAGTTAGATAGTAGGACTAGGAACTAGAAATTAGAAACTAAAACTAAGAAAAAGAAAATATATAGAAATTCAAAAAATATATAGTTTAGGACACAATAGTCAACACTTAACACAATAGTCATCACTCAACACCAAGAGTCTTCAGTCATCATCATCATCAGAAGGAACAGGTTCAGTTTCATCATATGCATCAGAATCGAGGCCATCATTATCAGAGTCATATATGTCTTCAATATAACGTTTGTCCTCCTCTGTTTCTTTTGAATCTGCATCTTCTTCATCTTCTTCTACCTCCTGCTACTAGTATGTGCAGATGAGGCCTTAGGAGTCTTGGTTACTCTACCCCTTCTATATTTTGTGCTTCCTGAAATTCAAATATTGTATAATTTCCTCCTTGGTAGCCTTAGGAACATTTTTACACGGGGCAACATCCCTTTTAATATTGGCAATGTGTTTTTTAAATCGGTAAATGCCCCCATTAATATCCTTTTCATAATAATTACATCTAATATGATTTTTGTTATTCGGATTCGGTTTATAACCATATTTCCAATCCGGATCACCACTTTTAGAAGAACCTGGAGAAGATATTTTTGTAGAACAATGCTCATTTCATCATTTTTTGGTTCTTTTAATTTCAAAAGTTGTCTAATCTCATCCCGAATAGTTTTAGGAACTTTTTTACAAGAAGCAACATTTCCTTGAACACCAGCAAGGTGTTTCTTGAATCGGTTAATACCCATTGGTATCTTTTTCACAAAAATTACACTTGATACAATTTTTATCGTTTGGTTTTGGGTCATAACCATACTTCCAACCCGGATCACTTCTTCTAGAAGCAGTAGAAATAGAAATATTCAAATAACAAGGATTTTGTTCTTGGTTTTGTTTTACAAAACTCATATATTGCTTAGTCTCCTCTCTAATAGCTTCAGGAACATTTTTACAAGGGACAACATCCCCTTTAGTACCGGTAAGATGCTTCTTAAACCGGTTTATTCCCCCTTTCGTATTTTTTTCACAAATATTTCATCTAATGCAATTTTTGTTATTTGGATTCAGGTTATATCCATATTTATAGCTCGCATCTTAACTTCGACTAGATATTGAAGAAGACATCTCAAAATAAAACAAGCAATCTAAAAAATAATTTCTTGCACTTACTTTGATTGCTCAAACTCTAAACTCCCACATTTGAGATGTTTTCTGGTGCTAATATAATAAAAAACCTCTAATAGGATTATAAAACTCAAAAACTAAATCAAATTTACTTGGGTTATGTTTGGATACGTTTTTCGTAACTTTGAGAAGCACTTCAATCCAATGAAAGTAACAAAATTTAATTTTTTTGAGGTTTCTCTCTCTTAAAATGAGTTATTGTGGGTTTAGATTTAAAATGAACTTAAAAACCCTCTTTAAACCTTTTATATTAAAAAAAAAAAAAATCAATACAACTAAAAAAAATTTTTTTTTGGCCCTAGGCAAGGCGGCACGCAGGCCTGGGTGGCCGTTGGGCACCCGCGTAGCCGGGTTCCGCTTTTTTGAACATTGGTTGCAATCTTATATGAAATTTTTCCTTAACTTTAGTACAAGGAGCTTACTTTTATGTCAAATTTTGAATTAGATGGTTGTAAGTTTGTCGTAGATTCAAAACTTCCAAAAAAAAATGGTGTACTTGTAACACACCCCATGCCATCCAATTTGAGATCTAAGAGTTAGGAGTGATTGTGACCTCCTTGTAACAATGATAAATGATCTCATGCTATACAATCCCCTTTAGTTTATTTATTTTTTGTTGGAGATTCCTTTTTTCTTCTCTATTTCTGCTAATAAATTATTTTAACGTAAGATAGGTAAATTTGGAATTTGAAAAAAAAATCGAGACAACTAAGCACATGGTTGTTAGTCCCCACATGAAAGTGGGCAATTACATCTTGTTCTATCAACTTTATTACTTATTATCAAGGTTTTAAAAAACGTTGAGTCGAACCGGACTCGCCCTGTTCGACTCGGGAATTGCCCGAGGATGCGTCGGTTCTGCACATAAAACGGGAATCGCCCGTGTCCAGAGAGAACCGGGCGATTCCCAATAGTAGACTCGCGATTCTGTCTGAGGAACCCGGAAGAACGTGGGCTGCACAGTGTTCTTCACGGGATTTTGATTTTTTTTGTCATTTTGTGATCGATTTTCAACGTTTTCAGCCTTCTGAACGAATCTTACAGGCTTTAATTCAAATTTCGAATAATTTTCACTCAATAAAACGAATTAAAACCACCGTTTTTTATCAACAAATTTGGATCGAAGAGTGAGTTTTAGGGTTTCTGCCATTTCAGTGATTTCAATCGAAATAAAGCTTCATTTTTTGTAAAATTTCAGGCTGAGTGATTGTAAAAGTGTTGCTCAGAATTTTGTGTTCATAATTTGTGATTGTCTTGGAGGAATACATATCAATTTTGAGTTTGAAGGCACGGATGCACGAAGAACAGGTACAAACTCTGTTTTTTTTTTTTTTTTTTTTCCGCCATGCGATCAAATCCAGTCAATATTTTACAAATTATGTATTAAATTTATAGGATTCTTTGTAGTGTTGTTTATCATTAGATATATTCAATTTGATTATATTTATTCAATTTGAGTTGGAGTTTATAGAAAATAAGAGTGATGTCTATAAAAAAAAAGTGGACTGTTTTTTTTTTTCCGCCATTTGATCAAATCCAGTTAATATTTTACAAATAATGTATTAAATATATGGGGTTTTGATTCTTTGTAGTGTTGTTTATCATTTGCAATATTCAATTTGATTATATTTATTCAATCTGAGTTGGATTTTATAGAAAATAAGAGTGATGTCTGTTGAAAAAAAAGTGGAATTTTTTTTTTTTTCTTTGCTATTTGATCAAATCCTGTCAATATTTTACAAATCATGTATTAAATTTATAGGGTTTTGATTCTTTGTAGTGTTGTTTATCATTAGATATATTTAATTTGATTATATTTATTCAATTTGAGTTGGATTTTATAGAAAATAAGAGTGATGTCTGTTAAAAAAAAAGTGGACTGTTTTTTTTTTTCCACCATTTTCACAATTTCAGTAAATATTTTGCCAAGAATGTGTTAAATTTATAGGGTTTTGATTCGTTATGGTGTTGTTTATCATCTCATGTATTCAATTTTATCTGATTTATTCAATCTGAGATTGATTTTTGAGATTGAATGACTGATGTCTATGAAGAACTGCTTTTTTTTTTCCCTCAGATCAATCGATTTTATTTAATATTTTGATAATAATGTGTAAATAGTATAGGGCTTTGATTCCTTATAGTGTTGTTTATCAAAACATGTATTAAATTTGATGTAATATATTCGATTTAAGATGGATTTTTGAGTTGGAATGACTGATGTTAGGTTGGTCTGTGAAGAACTGGGGTTTTTTTTTTTTCATGATCAATTTTTTTGAGAAATCGTGACTTTTCGAAAAATTGTTTTTGATTATCATGAGGAATTAAACAATATTTTTAATTTTTATCGTTAAAAAAATTTCATGTTGATAGATTATTTATGCAAAAAAATACATGTTATTATATATTTAATGCAAAATTGTATTTTTTAATTTGTTGTTAATGCAAAAAAATACATTAACAAATACATGCTGTTAAAAAGGTATTATATTTTTAATGCAATTTTGCATTAAAAAAGTATTTTTAATTTTTAAATTTTTAATACAAAAAATACATGTTGTTAAACTGTATTATCATGAGGAATTAAAGTGAATATCATTGTAAAAAAATCGTGG